CACCCATGCTACCACTTAGCCAATGATCTCTCAGCAGTGTGGGTGTGGCTAGACCGGCCCTCTTAGAATTATTCCAGAATTTTGTTTACAAAATTCTTTTTTTTCCTTTTCCTTTGGCCAAAACATTTACAAATCCCAGATTGCCAATTAATTCTTTATCACATCCCAAATCCGCTTAGCTCGGACTTCTACTGACTCATTAATCATTGTCAAAAAACCCGACACTTGGGTTCTCCACCAGTCAACCTTCAATTGGGTGGCTGTGCCCACTCGACAATTAAATTCTTTATTTTTCTTATGTCTTAAAATTCTCTTATCACCAGATGCTCATTTTTTTCGAGATGCTATGTCTGACGTCAACAGTTTGAATAAGCAATAATAATGATCCCTTTTCAATTTTCCTTTTTCATGTCAAGATTTGTGCATATACCAGATGGCTTCCCCACGCTGGAACCAGGAATTAAATTTAAATGATATCTCTGAAAGATAATTAATACCTACTCTCCAGGGTGGTCCCAAGCCAAACTTTCTCCATGGCCACATGTGTTGGCCGGCTTTGTTTTTCTTTCAGAATTCTGTTTCGTTTGGCACGTCACTCCCTTATCGTGACATTAATTTTGACAGAATCACAGTTTCGCTTTTTCTTACGCATTTTCTGTCTATTGTGAAAATTATCTTTCTTTTGTAAATAAATTCTTTTTTATGTCGCTCAGTCTATCTTTTGATATAGCTCTTTCTCGCCTTAAGTGTTTCCCGTTTTTAATTTCTATGGTTAATTAGTTAGTCAATTACCATAGCTAAATAGTGTCACAGTAGTAATAAACATGCTGACAAAGATGGGGGCAATAGTCCGAATAATGTAAATAGTGTATCTAAATTTTGGTATAAAATATTTTATGGCAAGTGATTTTTCTCCCCATTTTGGGGTAGCTTTGAACAAAAAAGAACGAAAACTATTTAATGCCATGAGTCCAGGTTGATGCCCAATACTGCAATATTTGACGACGGTAGGTCTACTAGTATTTTTCAGAAGATGGGGTCATATTAGACCAAAGCTATATGAAAAAAAAAATCACCACCTAGAATTTAAAGATTTATATTAGACATTGCAACAGTACAACTTTGAGCTATCATTGCAGACACACTATCCTGAGCATATCTTCCAGACAACACTCCGAAACATGTAAAGAAGACATGGAAGCACATATCCATTTAATAATGAAGACATTCCCAAGGAGGACAGTAAATTAGAAGAATATAAGGAAGCCACAGCAACTGATCCAGATTTTCAATTACTAAAACATACACAAGAAAAGATGGCAAAAACGAAAACATATTATCATCACTTAGACCTTATACTTCATTTTGAGATAAAATCACAACAACAAAAGGACTAGTACTAAAAAAAACTCTAAAATAATAGTCCCAACAAAATGGAGAGATCAATACATACTGGATTAATCCTAGTGACATACCAAGAAAGATCAATACAAAAGAGAGGTTAAGATTCATGCATTTTCAGTGTATTTTTTCGATTTTTGAACAAAGCATTGAGGTATAAAACTTGGGTTTGATAATTCAAGTCATTCTAAGTAAAAAGTTCTTTTTTACATATATAGATTTTTGCTTTATTTTATGAAAAATTAAAGTTGTTTAAATGTCCTTATGCTGTGTTACATGAATGGTTCTCTGTTACATATATAGTAAATGGGTGGCTGGCTGTGGTGAATTGCCAATGCATAAAATGTAATACTTAACTACTATGGTATTGTTGTGTTATGTGTAAATTCTCTTCATTTAATAAGCATAAAAATTTAATCTGTCATTTAATAACTGCTTTCCATAAAGATTTGAGTACTTAGGTTGTTCAAATAAATGTGCATCACTATAGGTTAGCCAACACCCGCTGACCAGCAGCAGAGAGTTGTTCTGGCAACAGACTACAGGACACATTTAAACCACCACAGTTTCTAGCAAAATAAAGCAAAGAAAAAAAAATACATGTATAGAGTACTTTTTACTTAGAATGACTTGAATTATCATAACCTGAAGTATGGATCTCAAATCGTGAGACACCCTGCATTATGTACCAGTAATCCTAGCAAAAAGATTGTCATTGAAAAGGTAATGCCTTGAGTGATGTAAACAATTGTGAAACAAAGATGAATGCAATTCCGTCTGTGAGGGAAGGTCAGAGGAAAGTTATCCTCCTAGACTCTTCCTCTCTCACATTGGTATCTCATACCAATCCCCTCAGTGGGCATTAACAACTTCCCCGTCTTTCTCATACATTCACCTACGTCTGTCACCCATGCTACCACTTAGCCAATGATCTCTCAGCAGTGTGGGTGTGGCTAGACCGGCCCTCTTAGAATTATTCCAGAATTTTGTTTACAAAATTCTTTTTTTTCCTTTGGCCAAAACATTTACAAATCCCAGATTGCCAATTAATTCTTTATCACATCCCAAATCCGCTTAGCTCGGACTTCTACTGACTCATTAATCATTGTCAAAAAACCCGACACTTGGGTTCTCCACCAGTCAACCTTCAATTGGGTGGCTGTGCCCACTCGACAATTAAATTCTTTATTTTTCTTATGTCTTAAAATTCTCTTATCACCAGATGCTCATTTTCGAGATGCTATGTCTGACGTCAACAGTTTGAATAAGCAATAATAATGATCCCCTTTTCAATTTTCCTTTTCATGTCAAGATTTGTGCATATACCAGATGGCTTCCCTCGCTGGAACCAGGAATTAAATTTAAATGATATCTCTGAAAGATAATTAATACCTACTCTCCAGGGTGGTCCCAAGCCAAACTTTCTCCATGGCCACATGTGTTGGCCGGCTTTGTTTTTCTTTCAGAATTCTGTTTCGTTTGGCACGTCACTCCCTTATCGTGACATTAATTTTGACAGAATCACAGTTTCGCTTTTTCTTACGCATTTTCTGTCTATTGTGAAAATTATCTTTCTTTTGTAAATAAATTCTTTTTTATGTCGCTCAGTCTATCTTTTGATATAGCTCTTTTCTGCATGTTAAGTGTTTCCCGTTTTTAATTTCTATGGTTAATTAGTTAGTCAATTACCATAGCTAAATAGTGTCACAGTAGTAATAAACATGCTGACAAAGATGGGGGCAATAGTCCGAATAATGTAAATAGTGTATCTAAATTTTGGTATAAAATATTTTATGGCAAGTGATTTTTCTCCCCATTTTGGGGTAGCTTTGAACAAAAAAGAACGAAAAACTATTTAATGCCATGAGTCCAGGTTGATGCCCAATACTGCAATATTTGACGGCATTAGTAGGTCTACTAGTATTTTTCAGAAGAAGATGGGGTCATATTAGACACAAAGCTATATATGAAAAAAAAAATCAGTTTTTTTTTTTTTTTTTTAACAAAGAAATTCAGGGATCAAACTATACATGAAGTAGTGTTATACATGAGTATATACAGTATTTCTAAAATGAGGAATTATCATTATACACTGATTTATTCAGACTAGTATCATCATCTTCTTTGTTAATATCTATGGATTATAACAACTACCGTATATACTTGCGGATAGGTCGCACCCCTACTTTATGGCTTAATAATTGATGATTTATTGTTGACTTGCAAATAGGTTGCACTATAATCTGGGGAGTTACACAACCCTTTTTAAACATAAGAATTATCAGATATTTACCTTTATTTCAAAACTTACAATTATTAATATACTTTTGATTTCCATGTTCTTCTGCATAATTTAGTACTTTTAATTTAAAACCTGCTTCATAACACTTTCTTTTACTCATGATTAATGTTTGCAACAATTAAAATTATAAACTATAAATTTGGTGACCAACTATATTGTTGCGCAATGCAAAATAGTGCAAACGTTTCATGATTCATGCACTTTGTTATTTGTAAATAACACTTACGAATGCCTTTTAATGCTATATGAAACAACTATTAAAGAAAATTATCTTAAAGAATATATTTAATTTCTTTAAGTCATATTTTCCAATGTATTTTTGACAAAATATATTATGCAGAATGAATTGTGGGACGCTTTTCTTTGTCAATAAACATCTACACGTGGTTCTTTAATTTATGTATTCATGTTCAGAGTTTCTATATCAGTCTGGTGTGAGGGACCCGACTGAATGGTGACTGATGGATCAATGAATACTTTATAATTTTATTTATTTATTGTGATGGATATGTGAATATAGCAGCATGAGGTAAGTTTAAAGCAGTGAGTCAGTATATATGATAGATAAATTGTTTCTTTATGGAGAAAGTACCAGTTTTAGTGTTTATGTGTATCATTTCTAATTTCTCAGAAATCATGATGACAAGGTAGTGTTGTTTTACATTTATGTCGAGCAGATAGCTTGCACACCTAATATTTTGTGAAATTTTTGGTAAAAAAAGTGCGACCTCTCAGTATATACGATAAGATGAAGACACTAGTTTGAATAGATCATTATATAACTGAATCTTTTTGTAAATAGGTTGGTTAATTTAATGATATTTCAGCACTTTTGGGATGATTTAAATTTGAATATAAGTTTTTAGAATAAAAATCACATTGAATTAATGGATAGGTAGACATAGGTTTGGTATGGACTGGAGTAGAAAAAAAAAGGTAGACATAAGTCTGGTTTTCACTGGAGGTAAAATGGCAGACATAAGTTAGGTTTACAAAGTAAAAAGGTAGACATAGATCTGGGTTCCCCTCAAGTTAAAAATGGTAGACAAAGGTTGAGTTTACACCAGTCAAAAAGGCAGACATTGATCAGATTTGCACCAGAGTCAACAAGATAAACACTGGTTTGGTTTATACCTGAGGAGGGTGAACATCTTTTTTGGAGAGGTGGGTCTGCAGGGAATGTAGTGGATGTATTCTAAGACACCCACAACAAGGAGAAGATAGGTTGGTTATTTTCCTTTATTTTATTTTATTTTTGTTGGTAAATAATAAAACATGAAATTATGGTGGAAATAATTCATTTTGATTCATCTTCACTATTGTTAGAAATGCTGTTGAATTCTCTGTAGTTATGAGATTCGGCTGCAGCAACGTCAATCGCTTGCAAGATGGAATTGATCGCCAAAGGTAACTTCATTTTCGCAAGTGACATTCCACTGCTTTCTTGGAAATGATGCAACCATTTATTTGAATATCGAAGAGCTGAAAAACAAAACAAAAAACAATATATAAAGATGTATACAATATGTAAATAATAAGAAATAATATGCTAACATCATTTTGTAGATATCTACTGAGGAAAATAAAGTAAATTTTTGAAAACTTGGAACTTTGTGCCTGCAAAAAAATGGTATGTCAAAAGGACAGTGTTTCCCTTATTATTTTTGAGTTAATTCCTAAGGAAGGCTAGTGGTGGAGATGGGATTAACCAGCCATTGTCTTGAAGAAATGCGCACCTGAACAGGCGCCCACCCTCTCTAAACTATATAACTACTGCCTCAAGAAATCTTGTTTTCCTAACTGCTGGAAGTCATCTTCGATTGTTCCTGTCTTCAAGAACTCTGGCGACCCCTCTGACCCTTCTAACTACTGTCCTATCAGTCTCCTACCCCTTTTTGGCAAAGTCTTCGAAGTGCTAATCAATACCGAAGTGGTTAACCACCTTACATCCCATGATCTGCTCTCAGACAAGCAATATGGCTTCCGCTTTACTCGATCTATAGCTGATGTGCTTATGGCCATCACTGAAACTGTTTACCAAGCTCTTCAAAATAACGGGGAAGCTCTTGCCGTGGCCCTAGACATCTCCAAAGCGTTTGATAGGGTTTGGCATGCCGGCCTTCTTCGCAATCTCCAGGGTTATGGCATTACGGGTCGATTGTTTGACCTAATACAATCATTCCTGTCAAACCGTGAATTGAAGGTTGTTCTCAAAGGATTCTCCTCCAGTTCCTATCCCACGAATGCAGGTGTTCCTCAAGGCTCCATCCTAGGCCCCACTCTATTCCTTATCTACATAAATGACCTTCCTGACGCCATAAATTCCCAAGCTGGCATCTACGCGGATGACACCACAATTTACTCCTGCCTCAAAAACAAATCTAGTGTCACTGACAAAACTAACCTAGCTGTGCGTCTCGAAAAGGACCTCCAATCGGTAGTGAACTGGGGCAGGAATTGGCTGGTAAACTTTAATGCCTCAAAAACAAAACTGCTTTCTATTAATCACCACAGAGATCCTTCTCTGCCCTCCATTAGAATGTCTGACGCTCAACTTCCCGAGAGCTCCTCTCTGTGGCTGCTCGGTCTCATGTTGACTGCTGACCTGAGATGGAACAAATACATTGAGTCAATTGCTTCGTCCACCGCAAGGAAAGTTGGCTCCATGTGCCGCGCCAGGAAATTTTTCTTCCCGGAATCGATCCTCCAGATATACAAATCAACAATTCCCCCTTGCATGGAGTATTGCTGCCATATATGGTCCGAAACATTGTAATTATAACAACAAAGATAAGCATGTTGGTCGCTGTAGTAGATCATATAAGGAAAATTCAATATTGCAAAAAATGATACTGAAATTAAACAAATTAACAAAACGAAATAAATTGCATAATAAAGTTGAAAACTTAACTCTCATCTGGCAAAATGAAAGATAATATATTTTAAGCATCTACTTTCTGAATTATCAACTTTTATTATTGTTATTAGTTATTTTTATTAATTATTATTCTTATTATTGTTATTAGTTATTTTATTAACTATTATTATTATTATCAATTATTTTTATTAATTATTGTTATTAGTTATTTTATTAACTATTATTATTATCAATTATTTTTATTAATTATTATTATTAGTTATTTTATTAACTAATATTATTATCAATTATTTTTATTAATTATTATTATTATTTTATTTTATTAATTATTAATTATTTTATTATTTTATTATTAGCTATTTATTAACTATTATTATTATCAATTATTTTATTAATTATTATTAGTTATTTTATTAACTATTATTATTATTATTATCAATTATTTTTATTACTTATTATTAGTTATTTTATTAACTATTATTATCAATTATTTTTATTAATTATTATTCTTATTAGTTATTTTATTACTTATTTTTATTAATTATTTTTATTAACTTTATTATTAGTTATTTTATTAACTTATTATTATTATCAATTATTTTTATTAATTATTATTCTTAGTTATTTTATTAACTATTATTATTTTTATTTTATTAATTATTATTATTAGTTATTTTATTAACTATTATTATTATCAATTATTTTTATTAATTATTATTCTTAGTTATTTTATTAACTATTATTATTATTATCAATTATTTTTATTATTATTCTTATTAGTTATTTTATTAACTATTATTATTATCATTATTTTTATTTTTTATTATTATTCTTATTTTATTATTTTATTAACTATTATTATTATCAATTATTTTTATTATTATTATTATTAGTTATTTTATTAACTATTATTATTATTATCAATTATTTTTTTATTCTTATTCTTATTAATTATTTTATTAACTATTATTATTATCAATTATTTTTATTTTATCAATTATTTTTTATTAACTATTATTATTATTATTAATTATTTTTAGTTATTTTTATTAATTATTATTATTAATTATTTTATTTTATTATTCTTATCATCAATTATTTTATTTATTATTATTATTATCAATTTTTTATTTATTATTATTATTCTTATTATTATCAGTTATTTTATTAAATATTATTAACATCATCAATTATTAACTGTTATTATTATTATTATTAATTATTTTTATTATCAACTATTATTATTGTTATTGTTTTCTTTGATTTTTGTTCTATACACATTTCCTTCCGGGTCTCAACCAGAGACCTAAGAGCAGAAATGGCTTCATGACATTTTTCCCCTCACTGTTTCGGTTTCCGACTATGATAAAAGTCACGATGCATAAATATTAATGTGTCTGTGACAATGGAATCATTGAAAGCTGAAAACAGTGGCTACAAGACAATGATTGATAAAAGTGTGGCGACAGATGGAGAGAGACAGAGAGAGGCTTATCTCACTGCATCATTTCAATTATGGTTTGGTGGTCCCACAAGTAGAACACAAGATGTAAGAGTTCATTTTATCCTGTGACAATTGTAGTGTTATTTGATGCTTTGTTAACGAGAAGAATGTACTTGCAGAGCTATGAATATACTTTAAGCTAACATTCAAGCTCAATCTGCAAATGTTGTAGGACTGATTTTTAGCAAGTAAAATTTGTGACAATAGGTGATATTTAAAAAGAGGCAAAAGTGAATTTCAATAAATTTCAAATGTTGAATTTCTTCTCTGGCTTTTAAACAAAGTATAAAAAAAAAATAAATGCTTGGACTAAAGCAAGTTAAATAATTTCATATATATATATATATATATATATATATATATGTGTAATTAAAATGAAAGGGATTTGGGTTTACTCAGAGAACATAATTTCCACAGGGAGCCCTCTAACCAACAACAATATTCCTCGGAAGAGTGAGGACCACTTCTTTGTTTATTCGCCATCTAGTTGAAAAAGGACACAGATGTATCTGAAAATTCTGACTTTAAAATCTTTCTCTTTGTACTTCAATTTAGTTAAAAAAGTTAACATATAATAAATATCATCATTTTTATTGCCAATATTGTTATCATTCTGTTGGCTTTTTATTCCTCAAATTTTATTAACAAGCCTATTAAATCTATCTATATATATATCTATATATATCTATATATATCTATATATTAGTCAAGCCTAGAGAGCCAGACAAACCTACCGAGGTTTCACCTAAGAGGATTGTCAGGGAAAGCTTTTCCTGACGAACTGCTTAGGTGAAACCTTGGTAGGTTTGTCTGGCTTTCTAGGTTTGACTAGGTCAGCTCTACTTTTGTATTGAGCACTTTTAAGTTAGTTGATTACTTGTATCAGTTTTTTTTTTCTTGGGCTTTGGACCTGTATGCTGTACGATTATTTTCGACAGACGTTTATGTTCATAGCTCTTTCTTTTTTTAAAACTTTTTTTTCTTTCGAGATTGATTTGACCATTAGCAAATCAAGAAACCGAAGGTTTTCTGAGACGAGTGTAGTTACCTATATATATATATATATATATATATATTTTGCTCGGATAGATGTGAGTTTGTGACCCTGGGTTTCACGCTTTAGCGATCGTCAGACAAACTGATTAATGTTTTAAAAAATTTGGGTTTATGTAGATTGCGTGTATTGGTGTTATTGTGGAAGTGGTGGGGGAAATTTTGTTGTTTTGCCATTCATCATACTAACGCAAACATTGACAGTGGCTTGTTAAAGGAGAAGGACCCCAACCACAGCCAAGAAGGGAACTTCATGGGCAAAAGGTTCTTCTTTCAATCTGGTGGGATCGCCAAGGAATAATCCACTTTGAATTCTTACCACCAAATGCAACAATTAATGCTCAAATATACTGTCAGCAATTAGAGCGTTTGAACCAAGCTTTGAGGAAAAAAAGACCTGCTCTAGTGAATCGAAAAGAGGTGATGTTTCATTAGGACAATGCGCGACTCCACACAGCAAGAATCACATCACAAAAGATCGAAGAACTTGGTTGGGAGAAAATTCCTCATCCACCTTATTCTCCTGATCTTGTTCCTTCAGACTACCTTTTGTTTTGTAGCTTACAGAATCATTTGGAAGAAACAGCTTTTGTAACACAGGAAGAGGTTAAAACTGACATTTGTGAGTTCTTTGAATCAAAGTCAAAAGAATTTTACAGTAATAGAATTAGTAAGCTTGTTAATAGATGGAAGGAAGTCATAGATAATCAGGGAAAATACATTGTTGATTGAATCTGTAATTAAATGTAACATTTGGTCACTTGTTTTCTTTATTCAAAATTCGGACAGAATTTATGGGATGACCTGATATATATATATATATACATATATACATGAATAAAAAAAGACAAGACAGGATTTATTCATTTTGTTCCTTTACATATACACTCTATCTGAAAATAATTTACATATATAACAAGTATTAATCCAAACAAGTTTGATTGAAAAGAACTGACAAGGTCTATCTGTTTATTTATTATATTTTTCCAATTTACGGAAAAGGTGTTGAGTGTTGTGCCCAAATTTGTGAATAAACTGTCCAAAGTTCATATTTTTTTTGTTTAAATACCTTTGACTTTTACAATCATTATCAAGATGTGGTGTCTGTGTGTAGTTTATGTGATTTATTTATTTCATTTTATTTATTAATCTATTTTTTTTTTATATTGGTATTAAAAACTAAAAAATAATTATATATATATATATATATATATATATATATAAATATAAAATAAAATAAATGTCGTTTCTTTTGTGCGGTTTCATTCACAATAGCCATTACATGACATCACGCTAGACGATTTCAAGTTTCCCAAAGAATACTGGAATGTAGACAAAAGAATTTTAACTACAACACCTGTTGGGTTTGTTATATTCATTTATATGCAAATACTCTTGGGAAAGACATGAATCCACATCTTCTCACTCCAGCTATGGGTTAATTAGTGAGTCTTATATCAGTAAACAATTATTTAAAAAAAAAAAAAAAAATTCTTTTTTCTTACAATCAAGAAATATTTTCTGGCTTTAAATAACTTGTAAAGTGTTCACAGGTTGTAAAAAACCAAATCAATTAATCTGGATATTTTAAGCAGCTTCAAGAACTGTCTCTGACCACAACTATACACATACGTGTAGTTGTTGTTGGGTTCAAATGTAATTTATACTGGTGATTCCCAGGTGGTGAGCTTTCTTTTTGTTTCTTTCTCCCTTTTTTACTTGTGTACATATTTTTGACCTTAACTGGCTCTGAAGAGTGAGGATTGAAAATTGGTTAGACCTTTTTTGTTATATTTTTTTTCCTCTGTCATTTTACCTGAGGTCTGTTTGAAAATTTTAGGGACTGTTGCTATGGTAACAGAGCTAAAGTATGCAGAGTGAAGCTGCCTGGTACAGATTGATTCAATTCTGTCACGCATACACATTAAATTATAATGTTCTTACTTTGGTTGTTTATAGCTGTGCATGGAAGGAAAGTGTGTAGAGTGTGGTTGTCTCACCACTCCACAGAGGTTCCATTAGTGACCTTGTCTCACCACAGAGGTCTCATCAGTGCTCCTGGCCCAAAACATTCCCCAGTTCTGACCAACACCATTATTCCCCAGATCTCGCCCTTTGCGACTTTTTCTCTTCAAAAGTCAAATCCCAATTGAAAGTAACAAGATTTTAAGATGTTGAGGAAATAAAAAAAAAAATGCAATGAAGCAGCTGCTTGTTTTCCCAAAACAGGAGTTCCAGGAATGCTTCCATCAATGGAAATGATACTACATAAAGTGTGTGGATTCAGTTGGATCCTGATGCTTTTTGATCAGACTGTGTATATTAATAAATACTTTAAAATTTTTTTATTAAAGGTTTAACAGAATTTTGAACAAATTATATATACAGGATGCGATGAATAAATTGTCGTCTAAATTATGCAAAATGAAAATAACGCTGACATCTCATTTCAACAGATATATTTATCAAAATTTAATAAAATTGGCATTGGCTTCAAACATGATCTCCAGATGACTTCAGAATCTCCTGCAACTCTTCTGGATGAACTCCTTGTTTATGTTGGTGAATGCTGCCATAATTCTTGCCTTAAGTTTATCTTTGGTGATACAAGGAGTTTAGTTGGTCTCTTGCTCAACTGCACACCACACATAATAATCAAGGTGGTTTCAGTCTGAGTTAGGTGGCTAGATCTAAGGTGTGATGTAGTCACAGAAATTGTCTGACAGCCATGACTGGGTTATCCTGCTTGTATGGCATGGTGCAGAGTCTTGTTGCTAGAGAGTCTTCCAGCAGCTAACCTCCTGACCCAGGGCAGCATTAAACATTCGAGTTACTTGATGTAAGCTTCTGTGTTGAGTTTGAGGCCTTGTGGGAAGATGAATGGAGGCATAATGCTATCATTACTAGCCAAACATCTTCGTAATCACCATTAGACTCATCCAACTCTTTCTGAATCCTCTGTACTGTCTTCAGATTGACACCCAAATGCTCTGAAATGTTAGTATTGGAGCTTCCAGTGTGTATGCCAAGCAGTACAGCATGCCGTTTCCAAGTCTGAGTGAATTACGTCATGGTGCACTTTTTCTCATGGTGCCCAATTGACCCTACTATACGATGCAGTTGACAAAATCCAAAACAAACAGCATGCATATGTGAAATTAAAAATATAAAATGGCGACAATTTACCTATTGCACCCTGTATATATCTCAAACAAAGAAACAATTGATGATCAGTACTTAAGCATAAAAGATTCTGATTAATGAATGAAATGATAAACTTAAAAGTTTACAAGAGAAAAGTAAAGTGGAATGGATAAAAATGCATCATCTTTAAAGCATTTATATGAACAGCAGACGATGGCCAAGATTCTGGTAAATTATTTAGTCAAAAATGGTAATCACCATTTGCTACCATCATTTTAGTACTCAAGTATTTACTAAAATTTCAGACCCAAGCTGGCACCAACCAGTGGCTAGGAGTCTGGTACCTTAATTGGTGCCCTCCTGAGCATAAGCTTATTTGCATAAAGGGCTGATCATCAGCTGAATGAATCAATGGCTGTTATGCACTAGCTACATGGATTGATGGCTTTTATGCATGAGCTGCATGATTCAATGGTTGTCATACACTAACTGCATGATTCAATGGTTGTCATACACTAGCTGCATGATTCAATGGCTGTTATGCATGAGCTGCCAGAATTGATGGCTGTTATGCATTAGCTGCATGATTCACTCTCACAATACAACCATATTGGCCATGATAATGCAAAAAAAATTAAAATATGTGGGGTTTCATGAAAACAGACCCAAATATTTTAGTACAGGTATACAAAAATATCAAATTTCCAGACAAGGTTTTCCTGACATCTTGAATTTTGTTATTCATCTCCAACCACACCCAGGACTATCAACAAAGTAAATGTTTTCATTACTTACCTAAGTCAGTACACTGAACAGATATCTCATCTGGTTTAACAGCCAACAAGTCCAGGTAGGAAAGTTTGCAGTCAAGAGCGCAATCATGCTTAACCAATTTAAAAGATACAAGCTCTCGAGCCAAAGAACATTGCAAGCAGGATAGAACAGTGGGCCCATACAGTTCCTTAAGAAAAAACAAAAATCATTGATGAAAAAAGCAAGTAGATCGTTGACACACACACACATATTTTTACACACACACACACACACACACACACACACAGGTCAGTGCTATTAAGCCACACATCAATAAACCATGATGTTGCTTAAGATATGCATGCATGAGAGACACCAAAATTTTTTTGTCATGTTCATATTAGAATCATAATCAGTGGTTTCCAATTTGAAACGAATTCAAACTTGAGTGTGACACTTTTTAAAGTCTGATTTTTTCTGTATAATCTTTGATTTTAATAAATTCATTGAATTTTAATACCTTCAGTATATCCGTATTTTCCCAGGCATTTACTATTGTTTTGGCTTTAGCTCTTCACACTCATGATTATATAGTGGTTTGGATTAGCACTTTGCGGACATTTTGAGTGTGAAATATGCAGCTTACAACCTTTATCCTAACTTTAAAATTTCACATATTTACTCAACAGGATTTGCTTTAATATTGATAAAGTGCTTTTGCAAATAATTTATATAATCTGCAAAGAGTCATTTTAAATCCTGCTTTAAGGATTATTAATGGAGGCCACCATTGCAGACAAATAACACCTTTCAAAAAGTTCATAAATCCTCCCACATTAAATTTTTGTATAAATACAGGCAAAAATTAATGTTTTGCACAGTGTCTCTCTAGATATCATAATGATCACAACATTTTTATACCACCATCATGAAATGTAAACAAACCTCATACAGTGTTCAACAAAAGCTAAACGTTGTCGAAAGCATATGAAACGGCACAGCTTGCAGCAAAGTCTCTGAAGAGATGGGTGTACTAGAATCTACATTGAGAGTTTGAATCAAAAATGAAGAAAAGCTACAAAGTTTTTTTATATGAGCGAAATGAAGGAGGTTTGAAGAGGAAAAGGATGAGAACTGCCAGGGATGCTGATCTTGACAAGGCAACATTTAACATGTTCTGTAAAACTAGAAATAATGGGATACCCATGTCAGGGCCCATTATACAAGCCCAGGCTGAGAAAATACATCAACAACTTCATGGTGAAAATGCAGATCCTGAATTCAGTGTGTCTAGTGGATGGTTAAGAAGGTGGAAGCAGTGCCATGGCATAGAACAGGTAAGAATAAAAAATGAAGCAAGGTTGGCAGACACAACACAAGCTGAGTTGTTCATACCAAGGTTTCAAAATTTTGTGCAAGAGCAGCAACTACATCCTGAGATGATATATAATGCCGATGAGATGGCCCTTTACTATCGTATCCTACCAGAAAAGACCCTTGAAGTAATGAATGATGAGTAGAGAAGGCTTCAAGAGTATAAAAGAAAGACTGATGCTCCTTCCTAGATTTTCATGAATTGACACTATTGCCTTAAAAAAATTTTTTCAATGAATAATGAATTTTATGAGATTTTTTTAAATATTTTTAATTAGAATAATTTATAAATTTTTAAATCTTAAAATTCTGTATTAATTTGTAACAGTTGATAATTTTACTAATTAAAAACTATATTTACTAATCATAAATGGAAAAGCTTACTACAATCTAGCAACCCTCAGTATTTTAAAAAGAATTTTTAATTTTTGTGTGTGTGTGTGTGTGTGTGTGTGTGTGTATAAACATGCCGATTTTTGTAAATCTGGACATCCATACACAACATTATCAGAAAATAAGAATTGTAACTATATTAAATTTAAAGCTAAAGTACTTAAAATTCAATAAAACACAAAATTACATAAAAATTTTGCAAAATATTCTAAGATTACTGGGTAGTTAAAAATTATATGAAAAAGTTGCTCATGTTATATTCATCAAGTAATTGTTACAGATATCTTCCCCTCCTGTAGGAAAAACTTGTTAAATTTTCCAAACATCAAGCTGCCAATACCTCATAAAAACACCCACCTCCATGTTAAAAACGTTTCCTGCAATATTTTAAACTAAAAGTAAGTAATATTTGTTTTAAATCAGATTAATTAAACTTTAACTAAATTAATCTTCCTCAAATAAAGTTTCAGAAAAGTACATTTTATTTTTGAAAATTTTTTTAATAAAAGAGAATTACATCATGCCAATAGAATTGTAAATATGTCTAAAATCAGTCATTTGGAGTGATTTAAAAAAAAAAAAAAAAAAAAAAAAACTCATTCCAATCAATTTAAATTCGTTTTGAAATACAGCAAAATATTTTGCTTACTGAAAATATTAAATTTAATCTATTAGCATGAAATTAAAACAAAAATAAAAGCCTCCAGAAAGATTTTTCATTTTCTTTTTTAAAACTTAGGTATTTCTTTTCTTTTAAGATATATATATATATATATATATATATATATATATATATATATATATATAAAAAAAAGGCAAAATGAAAATTTTTCTTGCCAATGTGTTTCATCTGTGAGGAAAGTATTTTAAGAGACAAAATATGATAGTAAAGAAAAGTTATCCATTTGTTTTTCATTTATATTGTCTTTACAGATATATTTTATTTATACCTGAATCTTTTACATATATATGTATGCATGTCTGTATAATTATCTGTATATCTGCATATGTGTGTGTGTGTGTGTGTGTGTATATATATTTATATATATATATTTTTCATGAACTTTTTTTTTTTTAAAACACTGAATCCATACTATTTGGATCATATATACATAATCGAAATATTATCAAAATCCAGGGAGGAGTGTGAACCAATTTTGCCCAGGAAGCAACATCTAAGTTTTAGACTGATGCAAAATTCCCCATTTTTTTTGACAAAATCTTTTATTCATATAAATTCATAGCATAATTATTCTCTCATAAAAGTATTTTCTCTGGCATTTTATAATTTTGTGGAGCAGTGACTTGTACTTCAAGTCTAGGGTACTTGACACTGATTCACTTTGAGGTTACTGTCTGGTTGTTGAGTGAATTTAAGACTTGTAAAATCCATACATCAAATTGACTGAAATGTCTTATTTTTTCTCCGAGTTAACATATTGTTTGTGTAGTATTTTCCATAAAAAATTCTTCCAATCTATTAGCTCAAAATCTTTTTTAAACTTCATAAATCATTTACAAAACATACTTGCACCTACTGAATCATCTCCATAAGCCTAAGCACCTAGTTTTGCTGCACATTCTCTCCAGATTAAACAAGGAAGAAGAATGCCTATTTTTATATACAGGCATAATTCTTAGCAAAATAAAGTATAATTACTATTTTTCCACAAATAATTCTTAAAATAATATTTAAGTATAAGTAATAAAGAGTTGAGTAAACTTTTCAGACATTTACCTGATTTCTCTAAGATTGTGCCAATGAAGATGCTCAGAACTTTTGTATTAAGCTAATAATCCAAAATAAATTCCTACCTGAATATCATGGATATCTTTGTCCCTAACAGTGTAGGCATGTAAATAGTTTGAGATTTCTTTCGTGATACTGCAGATATCATTAACATTGAAGCTCTTTTTGCTTAAAATCTTGTCCATAGGAATGAAAGGTGGTAAATCGTAGCTATCTACATCAATTTTTTTATCAGAAACATGAAGTTCCAAGCTGTAGGTACACCGGTAAAGTCCATCACTGGTTGAGGTAAACTTCAACAGCACATTATTCTTCTTACTGTAGCAAACTTGTATACCTGAAAAGAAAAGGGAGAAATGCTGATTTCATTGGTTACAAATTAGGACATTTTTTTTAATTGTTTTATATAACACTGTTTATGCAATCTGAGGCATCATGGTTAGGATTTATGAGACAGATTCAACAGATCTTTGATTTTCTATAATGATCACATATATAAATACTTGATTCGCTATAATGATCACACATATGAATACTTGATTCACTCTAATCACATATACAAAGTGTGATAATTCCTGGAATGAACACATTGTGTTGTTGCAATACTGAGTTAGGCAAACATTTGTACCCAAGCACATTGAGACATGTTTCAAACTCCACTTTCTTAAGATGCACACTAAATGAGTCATTTATTGCTGAGCAGTGGAGGAAGTTGTCTGTGCTCATGTTATATTGCTGACAGAAAATGAGTGAAAGCAATCTGGAGCAGCAGATTAATTATAATTATTAAATTTTGTGCAAGGATTAGTAAAAATGTTAATGAAACTTTTTCAATAGCTTTGCAGTGCTTTTTTTTTTTTTTTTTTTTTTACAGTGAGGTTCACCTTGTACAAGGCATATGAGCCACTAGAGGTAGAGGATTAGACAGGCGCACAGTTTATGTGGAGACGATAATGGTCAACCCTAGACTTGAACAGGTTAAGATTATAGTGATCAGGAAAACACCTTCTTGGGAGTCAGTTCCACAGAGCAGTGGAAGAAGCTGCATTCCCCTGTCACTCTTATCTTCAATCATTGTTATTGCCCCAAAATTGTTAATATTTATGTGAAAAAAAAAAAAAAATGTTCCTGGCTTTAAATAACCCACAAAAGGTTGATAAAAAAAAAAGAAAAAAAAAGAAAAAGAAAAAAAGTCAATCAAGATTTGTCATCTTTGATGCTATTATGGTCCACAGAGCCATTTTATCCGTCCTTCTCAAAAAGGAATTAGTAGTATTCAAGTTCCTAAAAGTTTTGTCTATGTAATTCTTTTCATCCCCTCCTCTATGGATATATAATTTCATCAATAAGAACATTAATTTAGACTGATGAAATTCTTCAGAGGGATGAAACACATTACATAAAATTGTTTCTATTTTGATGTTCAATTACCTACTGATATACGAAGTTTATATATCATATTTCTCCCATAAAAGCCATTGTCATGTTTTTGGACTGTTTGCTTTGGTTTTCTGTCCCACTAAAAGAAACAGGAGAGGAAATGGACTCTACTGTATTTGTTTGTTCTCTACTACTACTTTCTCTGTTTTATCTGTCACAAATTAAAAATACAAATTTAAGTGTTGATTTTTAAAAAACTAATAAAAAAGATAGAAGAAAATATTTTCCTTTCTTGTTTATGTCCTTTGTATTGTGTCTTGCATTTTTCAAAATTGGGTTAACAAAATTCTTTAGGGAGCCTTTTGCCCAAAGTCATCTGGGATCTTGAACTGTAAAGTCACAGTAGGGAAATAACCACTAACCACTGAAATGTGTGTCTGCTTATCATTTTATTTTTCCTAACGTGAATTTTCACAAGTTGTTTTTGTGTGAACATGTTGGCTGTTTTTAGTTCTAAATCCTGTGTAAATTTTGTTTAAAAACATAATGTATGTAAACTTTTTTATTTAATCATTTAACTCCAAGCAAAGAATGTTAGAGAATATGAAAAAAAAAAAACAAAAAAAAACACACTATTAGGGAGAGTGAGCGAACAATAAAAGAACAGGTATTAAGAAGGCAGAAGATAACAATTTAAATTTTTCAAGATCAAAGTTGATGGGGAATCAAAAAGCTGGAAAAGATTTCCACAAGTAAGAAGTGCGAGAAAAGAAACAGCATAGAACTTATGATTATATCTAGCAATTTCAACTGTAAAATTATGAGACCTTGCTGCCAATCTAGTACTGCATTTAAATTCATAAAGTCTAGATACCATAAAGGAAAGTTGATCAGAGCAATTAGAAATGAAATTATTTATAGAAAAGGAACAGGAAACTATATTACAGTAGTGGGAAATTCACTGAAGGTGACATGCCAGGTCAGAACCAATAATATTGCAGATTCTTCTTTGGATTTTATCAAGAATCCCTAAATATATGGCATGAACACCAGGCCAGATGTGGCAGCAGTATTCAAAGAAAGTATAAATGGCAGACTAAGATAGATTCTGACAAGAAAAATTGTCTAGCATGATACAATGAACCAACTTCCTTAGCAGCAGACTTAACAATTGATTCAATATAATCTTTCTACTTCATGTCAGCAGAAAAATATCAGTCAATACAAACTGGATAAAAAAGTTGGAGAAATGTTAAATTTAGGTTGAATTTAACTGCCACAAATTTTAAAAAGTCAGTGTGTATTACAAACAAATGCATATTATATGATGAATATAGGCATGTGACTGATTGGTTAGAATATTTACTTTCTGACCATGAGTCCCAGGTTCAAATCTCACTGGGGTTGATTTGTCGGGACGGTGACTTTTTGATGCCATCAGTTTGAAGAAGCAATCCCAGTGTATGGTACCATTGGAAAATGCTTGAAAAATCATACCACGGGTTGATGTAAGCCTTGTGAGAGAAATTAGGTAAACGAAACTGTTCATACATTGTCGATGGTTATGCTAGCAGAAAGTCACAAGTCATCATGACTGAGGGTTTGGGTATCCTGGCCTTGTAGAAACTGTTGATTATGCTAGATGATGCACTCTCTTCCAGAAACTGGCATACAGTATAGTTGCAGTATAAACCACAGGTGAACTCTGTGGGAGTTTTGCTATTGTTTCTTGTTATTAATGGATCTGATATGGTACTTATTTCCATGCTCAGCCTACTGAGGAGGTTATTGTAACTTAGTTTATACACCAATTCCTTCCAGGTGTCTGCAACAGAGACTGGTTAGCCATGAAAGTAAACAGGTATGCTTGGAAAACAAGTGTAGCCCACCATAATATTATAAAATATGTTACACATGATAATAATATTTAACTTATAAAAAAATTAATGCAAGATATTAATTTCAGAAGTACCCTATAAGAGAGAAAGGTTATATTTAAGCTCCCTCCCAAAAATTGTCCAAGCCTGCAGGCACCAAGTAATGACTACATTACTCTCATGAAGGAATGTGCTTAATATTATTTTGAAACTAAACAGTGAAAACCTGTTAGCAGATATGAACTCCAAAAGCTCCCAATATTAGATTTGAACTTTTTAAATAGAGTAATCAAGCCTTGTACAATTACCAAAGTTAAGCAATGTTGAGCCTGGGCAGTACCTAGATGGTTGATGGTTTGAGAATACCAGGTGCTGTAAGTTTGGGTGTGCAGTGGGATAATGGCACAGAATTATTAATTGGAGACCCAAGTTCAAATTCCCACTGAGTCTGTTATATTCACTTATGCGCAAGTACCCTTGGGAAAGGTATGAATCCACCTTGTCTATCCTCCAGATATGGAATGATTAGTAAGACTTGTGCCACTAAACCGTTATTATCTAAAAAAAAAAAAAAAAAAAAAAAAAAAATTTTTTACAATGTAAAAATATTTTCTTGATAATCTGCAAAGTGTTGAAAAGCCATAGATAGAAAACAAATCAATCAAGGCTTAATAGTTCTAATAGAGCTTGCATTAATTCTTGAAATTTGATGAACCTCTTCTTTCTTGGTTTTTCAATATACAAAATACAGATTGCAAAATTCAATGATTAAATCAGCAAATTCCACTTTTAAGTTTTTATATTACACTAATGATTTCATTTATTCAGTGACTTTTGAACGACCATAGATTCCTTTAGTATGATAAAAATTCCAATATTTCATCGCATATAAAACATACTTTTTCCCAAAAGATGGCTAAAGAAATTTCCTCTGCATCTTATATCTGCAGTAGAGGCTAGAATTTCAACTCAAACTGTCACTTCTACCTAACTCAACTTAATACTAATATTATTTACTCAAATGACATTACTATTATTATTATTATTATTATCATTATTATTGGTACTGGAAAAGGAATTATCATAACAACGTATCTGTGACGTTCAGCAGTACCAAATATATCTAAAAGCACTATTATTAATTAGCTGGAAAGTACAAAATAAACGTACATAGCCGAAAGGAAATAGTGATAATGGCAAAACTGTGTTTTTGTTTATGTTCAACATTAATGGCGGTTTCTTTTTATAAAATGCTTTTAGTTTTTTCTCTTACAATGTTTTATTATTGTAATCATGGAGGATATTTTCACTATTGTGATTTCTGGCTGGCTTTTGATATACAGCAAGGTTTACTTTTATAGTTAAGGGACATTTGTAAAATAAATGCATTTTCATCATTAGGCTGCAGATTTATTGATGTACATATTTACAACTGAATCAAGGAAGGAGATTATGTGGAAAAATATTTGTTGTGTAAAATACATGCCAATTTTTTTTTCATAATTAGGTTACTAACTTACTGATTTCCTTTGGGGACTACCAATGAGATAAGAAACTTTTTACTTATAAAGATATTTCCCTGGGGTTATAGATTTACCTTGGAGGCAGATTTTTGAAAAAAAACAAAAAAAAAAAAAAAAAAAACACTTCTTACCCATGAGGCCATAAATGTCTAAAAGTTCTTCCAGAAGTTTCTTCTGTTGACAAAAGTCAAGCTTTGGTGCCTCCTCAATGATTCCTGATTTATTCTTCACCAATTCCAGCTGCAACAAATGTCTAATATTAAGCAAAAACAGCAATCTTTTACAAAAAAAAAAAAAAAAAAAAATCTGAAACCTGTCTTTTCATTTCCATCATTCTAACCATGGTACCATAGTACTGTACTGATTTTGTATTGTCCTGGGTATGGCTATAAACTACACCAACAGCAAGGCTTCTAATCGAGAGGCTTTGAGGAGTGTGGAACCACCTCTTAATTGCTGTTGTTACCAGGTCTAACCTGACCTGCGTAGTAGCACCTGTTAGGGTCCCAGCTATGGTCAAATAGTTACCCATAAACTGGGGTCAAAACACTATGAAAGTATAATAGATTTTTATAGTAAAAATACCAGTGATACATTTCTGAAGAAAAAATATTACCAGCAACTAAAACCTCTTTACAAAAATGTCAATGAAACTTGATCTACAAAGAATACATATTCTATTCATATGAGTCTATTCTAAAAATCTTGTTAGCATTAAATAGCCCATTGAAGTTGATATGCCATAAAACAAAATAAACCAAACCAAACCAAACCAAACCAAACCAAACCAGATTTTGTAAAATGCTGCTAGGGAGTTCAAACCTCACCAGATGCATATAGAGTCAAATATTGTGCATAAGCCAGTCTAGTATTATGTCATCATTTTTTATAGGTCTTTTTATGAAAAACTCTTTGGATAAATTAAAATGTTAAAGATTTAAGAGCATTGTTTGTATTAATTCAGTTCATGTCAAGAAGATAAGAAGAGAACAACTTTACATTTCTGGGAATTTGCTGTTATTCAACAAAACAAATGTGTGAAGAGGAATTTGGCCAGATAATTATTTGACATTTAATTAAATAAAAAAATGGAAAAGAAAAATAATTTGAGAAAAGAATCAGTTTAATATTCTGCCTGTGATTGGGGTAGGTTTCAAGCCCAGGTAAAAAAGACATGATGTTGAATGCTGATTAAGACAAGAAGGCAAAGTCCTCCCCATTTGTAAGATTGGTGGAACACAATCTTTCTATACACATCCTTTTTTATATGCATTTTATTCAAAATGACAGACAAGGATGATTTTTTTAAGGTTTTCTTTTTTAGTCAACTTTTCGTCTTTCTTTATATATATGTGTGTGTGTGTGTGTGTAATGAGATACATGTGTGTATGTTGTGAGATAGATGAGTGCGTGAGTGCATGCAGGTATGTACGTGAATGTGTGTTTGGTGAGGTAAGTGAGAGTGCATGAGTTTGTAGTGAAATATGATTGAGTGTTTGTAGCAAGTTACATTTTTTTAAATGCGTGTGTATATATTGAAATATATTTGTGTGAGTAGGTGTGTGTGTGTGTAGGTGGGGGCAAGATATGTTATAGTGTGTGTAGTGAGATATTGGCGTGCGTAGCGAGATGTCATAGTGTGCGTGTGTGTGTGTAGTGAGATAAGTTGTGTGTGTGTCTGTGTAGCAAGTTGTTACAGTGTGTGTGGGGAGGGGAGATATGATAATGTGTGTATGTATGTAGTGAGATATGTTGGTGTATGTGTGTATGTAGTGAGATATGTTGGTGTGTGTACATATGTGGAGAGATATATCAGTGTGTATTTATCTAACCCACCTGCTTGGTACTCATTTCCAACTGTTGTTTGATACTATCTCTTTGCTGGCACAGCTGTACCACCTGTTGCTGCAGTTGAACCAGTGTTGTACGCTCCATATGCAAGCTGCTGGCCAGTGGGGAGTTGTCATCTTCCAGTTGAGTCAAGAAAGAGATAAAATTCTCTTTTAAAAATAGAGAGAGAGAAAAATAGAGATTCATTATTACAAATCCAAAATGCATGTTATTTACAGCAATCCATTTAAAAGATTTTTTAGAATAGTTTGTAAGGGTACAAATTTTTTATTAAAGTAATAAAGTGGACATGCGAAAACTAGAAGAAAAATTAATAACAAAAAATATTACCATAATATGAAAATACAACAAAATTAACAAAAAAAAAGACAGCAAAGTGGATAATTTGCATAAGTGTATCAATAGCTAAACATTTGCTACAAAACCAGCAATGTGTCAGTCTTACAACCAAGACATGTTCTCAGTACTGAGAATGGCTAATTCTGAATTTCATTTGAAGGTGTTGGAATCTGTCTACATTAAGTCCTACCAGCCGTCTCTCTGTAAGCAGGTGTGGTTGGTGAGTTTAAAGATAATTAGCCTGTAAGTGTTATACTTTTCATGCAACATTTAATCTTTGGAATTCATTTTTTCATCCTTGATTTAATCCTGATTAGAGAGGACTGATAAGCCATTTTAGCTGTCTTTTTGTTAATTGGGCTACATTTTGATATTTATGGTAATATTACCTTTTGCTAAATCCATTTTTTGTTATTAATTTTTCTTCACATTTTAATGTTTGTTTATATCACTTAATTTTATTTTAAATTCAATTTTTCCTTTTTTAATTTCTTAATTTATGTCTTTTATATTCATAATTGTTTTATATTCAAGATTCCAGTTCTTCTATATGCCGCATCCTTTCAGGACATGGGCAATCATGGTTCTCCAAAATTTCCTGTCCTTTGGAGCTCTTTTGTAACTTTTGCCTTTTTTCTATCTCTCCTAAACCCTGTTCTGCCAAACATGTATGCAAGCTCATTAGGTAGATTATGCATGGATTTCCTCTGTTCCCCTTGTGTGTCCTGTGAATGTCAAATTTTCTAAGCCTCTTCCTTATTATGCACCCTAGAATTTTCAACTGCCTTTCTGATTTTAATTATGAGTTTCCTTTTTGTTTCCATTTTCGCTAATACTGTTACTGCCCACATGTTCAATCCATGGTATCCTCAACATTCTTCTGTAGAATCACATTTCTGTTGCTTCAAGTTTCTTCTTCAATTGTAATGAAATTGTCCAACATTTGCTGCCATATAGGACTGATATTACATGATAGTTAAGTACTCTTTTCTTCATTTCTAAGGAATTTTTCCTGTAAATTAATACTTTGCTTAGCTTTTAGGAGGCAACTTTTGCTGTCTTAATACACCTTTTAGTGTCAAATTTTCTGTCCCCATTAAAACTTTTCTTAAATATTTACTCGGTCATTTTTCCATAAAATCTTTAAGTTGGAAAAGCTAATTTGTTTTTCATTCTGATATTTTATGATCTTGAAGTAAGGGTGTGGTTATAGAGTTGCAATGCAACTGAACAGCTGACCAGTTCCCTCCACATAACTGGATTGGCAGCTAGTGGTATTCATTCAAGTGTAGCATGTCTTGAGCAAGTAGACCTGGTGGAATCCATCCCTCTCCAGGTCAACCCACAGCTGATGTCCTCTAACTGGTAATGGACATGTAGCCATTAATTCCATTAGAAGAACCCTCTGCCCTGGATCAACTCTTTAATTAAATACAAAAAAGTTATTTATTTGCATCTTTTAAAATTAAATCAAAATCCTGTTATAATTGTGCTTATCACTCCATTTGTTAGTTAGTATACCGTTACATGCTGCCAATACCCCATAAATAATGGACTATTCCGAATTTTGATCACTTGGAATAAGGCGAAAAGATATTACTTGGTTTAAGTGTGAAAATGAAAGAAGGAAAGTAGGGAAGATAGGAGTAGAGAGAGAGAGAGAGAGAGAATCGCATTAAGCTGATAAGAACAGATACTACACTTTGATCATAATCAAAACATCAAGAAGAGATAGTGACTGATAAAAGTGCCATTTTTCAAACACACAATATGGCACCAATAAGTTTCCATAAATTAAATAAAATAACATTGTCTGTTGAATTATTTTAAAATTATTATTAAGAGAAATGTTTGTAAACAGGGATTTGGCTAGAAAGAAAGAAAGAAGGGAAGATAAAAATGTCTCCTAATACCTCATAAATAATGAACTATTGTTTTGATCACATTGAAAGAGAGAAAAAAAATACTACTTGGTTTCAGTGAGAAAATGAATGAAAGAAAGATGTTGCAACGTTTGTCCAGCCAGTGTGTTCAATCCCCATGGCTGACTGTTGAATGGATCACTTTGATCCAAGCCCTGCCTTGTCCCCACATTGTGTTTGATTTAGATCACAAGACTGGTGATCAAATTGTCGACAGGAAGTGTTGAATTGGTATGGTCTGGACAAAGTGAAGGTACACGTCATAGGATAAATTGTAATAAAGAAAATGTTTTATATAATGTTTCTTGTATGGAGCTGGTAGTACAATATCCGTTCTTCATGCAGGAATATATTGTCATGTAAAGTTATTCGACCTTCCCCACATCGGTGTTTTGTGATATTTTTTTTTTCGTTATGACCAAGTTTAGACAAGGCTTCTGGAACACAGCTCAAAGATGGAGGTCTTCTTCAGCGGTAGGAAGTCACTTAAGTTTGGTGAAGTGGTTGTCTCTCGTCTGGTGAATTATCTCTTTAATTGTTTCGATTCTCTGTTTATATGGACCTCTTTCCAAAACTGGCATGGGATTCTGATGTGGGTTGGGATTTCAGTGATTCCCTTAATCTCCACAGAAAGTTCTTTATTTGACACTGGGAAATTAATTGCATGCCCAATTTTGGAGAGGCACTCCTCTGAGTAGCGGTAGCAGAATATCAATCCACACTAATTCCTTCCTTCTTGTATTGGTGCCTCATACCAATACTGCCTAAGGGGTGTAGGCAATTCCTCCACCTCCTTTGGTGTTCTAGCTAGGCCTTTCACTTTGGTTGTCACTTTGACCAATCCAATCTCTAGACTGCATGGGCAAGCAGGCATGGCTTAGCTACAATCATTAATTTTAATTAATGTTCAAAATTTTCATCAATGGAGTTCCTCGACCCCTTCTGTCTTTCCAATTGGACACTCACCAGCTGCTCCCTCGACAGCCTCCTCTTGTGACATTTTTGGCTCTTATCTAAAGAAATTTCACTGCACCAGCAAATTACACATTCCCCTATTTTGTTGATAAGTGAAAAAAAAAGAAGTTTCTCCAACTTTGCCTTTGTTTCCAGAACACCTTAAATTTTATCTCTTGACCAACTTTTCCTTACTGGGTCTTGGCCAGCAGATAATTCCATAACCTGGATTTTAAAAACAATAGTGTCTTCATCTTAGCTTTTATATCACCTCTTTCCATTCCCAGTGGATTTAAATTATCCAAATGGCTTTTTCAACTAGAGTCCCCAAAATAATAATAAAACCATTTTACTTCCAGCTAGCCCCTACTCCTGACTTGCTCATCAGAGGTCCTCACATCTCCATTCTTAAGTTGATGTGTTGATAGCCCAGAATTCACCACCAGGTCCATTTTATAGTCAGCTGTCTTGCCTTTAACCAAGGAAGAAGAAGAAGAAGAAGAAAAAAAAAAATCAAATCCTCTGAATTTAATCACTATGTTTATTGATCCATCCTTGAACCCTTTAAGTATCACATCTCTCTCAGTATAGTTATCAAGCTATCCCTTCTTCAACCCTTAAGGTGTCACATGGGTAGTATTTAACATTTGTTTCAGTGAAATTGAAAAAGTTGTCAATTTCAAATCTTTTCATTTGTACCCACTTCTTAAAATAATGACCAGCCTTCATATTTATCATTGTTATTGCAATATTTTGTTAAAGTTGTTAAGTTCAAATATATAAGGATGTGATAGGGGAATTTCTACAGATATTTTATTGTCGTAGAACTTTCCATGAGCTGAGTTAAGAATTAAGATTCATCAGAAAATTTAAATAGGAAAATTGTGAAATTTTCATGGGTCTTTCTAGTTTAAATATTTCTGTTATGATTTTATTAATAATAAAATTCAATCAATTTCAACAAACTTACTATTCTTTTACTTGGTTAAATAATGTGGCACAGTTTTAAGATTTAATTAAACAGATTATTTTGTCATATTTAGATAATTTTGTAAAATCTTTTCAGTGTTAATCTGTAGGCTCCATGATAACTGAACATTTAATGAAAAACTAGCAGTGTGCCTGTTTTTATAGCCTGAACATGTTCTCAGTACTGAGTAAGGTTAATACTATCACTTAAAGGTTTTGGAAGAGGTCTATATTAAGTCCTACCAGCCATCTCTCTGTAAGCAGAAGGAGTGGCTGTTGGGTTTAAAGGTAATTAGCTTTTAATGTTATATTTTTTGTTTGCATAAAACATTAGTCTGGGGTTGTACATTTTTTAGTTGTTGTGCACATATTTTTTGTCCTCGTTTTTTTTGCTCTAATGACAAAAGACTGATAAACTGGTTTAGCCGTTTTTATATTTTTTTCAGCTTTGCTTGACTAATTTATAGTAACGTGAAATGGCAGACAACAATGTTGCAGAAAATAAGATTGTTGCCAAGCCTAAAATTCTATAAAAATTCTAATATTTAAAAAAATTATTTAATTTATATTTACTTCTAAAATAACAAAAAACAAACTTCCATTTCAGAAAGCAAAACTATGTTTATTTCATGTTTTGTTTAAATGACATTTTTCTGTTAACTTATGACTGAACTTTAACAAGGCAGATACAAATTATTTCTATACAAACACAATGAATTAAAAAATAAACAAACTTCATGAACAGAAACATTGTTTATATATATATAGCAAGTTTAAAAATTTGCATTAAAAATACAGATGAAATATTTCTTAAAGTATAACAAAATTGTTATGCATGTGTTAGTAATATATATATATATATATATATATATATATATATATATATATATATATATATATCTGATAGGAAAATGATTGTCACAATGCAGACTGATGTAAGGTGGGGACACAGACAAAATTTAGCC